ACACCTCTTCATTGAACAATTCAATTTCTGTCGCAACGTTTCCTTGCTGAGGGTCGCTCTCACTCTGCTGAGAGGAATTTATATCCTTCTCCTTTATTATCTGCTCATTTCCTTGCTCATGCTTGCACAGCTCATTGTGAGCGGCGCTGTCGTTGGCTGTGGCTGTTGAACTATTGCCCTGAGTAGCAGGTGAATGCTCAAGACTGTGTCCATTCTCCGATCGGCGATCATCATCGTCGGCGGCGTTGTGTGAATTCGAAGGTAAAAGCGGCAAGTTTGCGGATGTCGATGGCGAGGCATATGACGTCGTCTCTATGGTGTACAACTCCTGATTGCCATACGAGTATCTCTTGTTTGAACCAGCCGAAGATGTGGAACTTAAATCGGACTGCGAAAGACCGGTATTGGAATTGCGTACGAGGTTGACTTTCTTCTCATCTCTAAACGAATGTGGTGAAATAGCGGGTTCTTCTAATTCGACGATTTGATGTAAACTGCGTTCGGGCATTTCTTCTGCGTAGCTCGGTAGTTGATGGTGCAGAGTTTCTGCTGGTGGTTGGTGGATTTGTATCTCATCGTGATTTCTCAAAATCTTTTCATCGTCTGATCGAAAAGAGGTCGCGGCCGCAGCTGCAGCTGGTGGTGGTGTTTCATAGATGGGACGTAGTTCTTCGGTGGTTGGGCTGTTTGGAATGCTTTTGGAGTCGACGCCGCGCGCAACTTCTACAACAAATACGCCATCCTTATCGGAGGTATTGTAATGCATTGTAGTTTCACGAGCGACGCGCGATATATCCTAGAAGTTGAAGAAGAAAATAAAAGAAGGGATTATTTTATGTAAATCGCATAATTCGTTTTAGGGAGTCACAATGCAAATATGTACATGCAATCACAAAATATACAACTAAAGTGTTTGCAGACAGAAGAAGTTATGTACATAAACAAATTGGCAGTTACAAGATGAATAATAAGAAATTTTCACGTGTGAATGTTCATTAGACCATAACACCTTACAAGCAAACAAAAAAAGTTGGCCGTGCATCCTTGAGTATCAAGAATTTTGCAAGGCAATTTCGGGGAAAAAAATTCGGTGACGCCTTCATTCGTCAATAACATTGCTTTTAAATTGTTCTACTGGAATAATCAAAATACTTCCTTTGCAAAAGTTTAATGATTTTCGGAGAACTTTGGGAGCCAAAAAATTTTCTCATTGGGACAAAAAAGCTTCGATGTATCATACTTTAAGATCCGACTGTAAATGCCAAAGATATGACGGGAAATTACAAATGGCGACCGCTACGATCGGAAAAAAAAGATAATCGAAAATGCGGGAACTTATACACCACAAACAGGGGAAGAGGATCGGCCAAACGCTTAATATAGTCAATCAATTTACCATTTTTGGTTGACAAAATGCAGTTTTAAAACTTTAATAATAAGCTGATGCATATATGAATATAGAATCTTATTATGACCACGTTGGAAAAAATTATAAAAACGCAAGTTCCTTTAGAAGCCGCTACAAATTTTTACAGAAAAGTCCTATGTCCACAACGATTGGCCCGCTTTAAATTTTCGGGTATAGTGCGGAGGAGTTTTTATGCCTTTCATGGCCATGAAATGTCGGATGTTTTTAAATAACAGAAAAAAGTGAAGGGCGCATAGTCGCTTACAAATTTTCCTTTTCATCATTTCAAACATCCTGGATAAAGTCTTTTAAACATATTTTATTACATCCCTGGTTTCTGCATACCTTGCGGGAAAACACCGAACTAGTGAACCAAATTTATAGTTCCTTCCTAGATCTTTGTGGCCAAAAACGAGCCAGTCCAATAGTATCTAATTAAATACCCATCAGTTCAAAAGCAGCGAAATGTGCTACTCTTAAAAAAAAAACTGTTTAATTTTATTTGAATATTTTTATTGAGCTTTGTACCACAATTAATAGGGACAATAACAATATTGAAATACATACATATTAATACACCACAATAATATTGACAAATATTTCGTTTTACTTTTTAAAGCGGTTGCAGAAATGTGATGGCGTGCGGTGCAATAACATCCCATTGTACTCTTGAGGTGCCCTTCTACTCAAACAAAATGAAGAGTTGAGACTATGTTGACATTCAGCTGAGCATTTTCAAGCCATTTATTGAGCGCAATGAAAGATATTGGATTTTTCAACAGGACAAAGCTGCAATTCATGCTGCTGGGGAGAAAAAATGCTGGTTGGAAACCAACAATGTTTGGACGCTTGCGCTCTCCTGACCTCATCCCAACGAAAAATGTGGGGGAAGTACTAGCAAGGACAGTTTATGCTGATAATCGCCAATTGGCATAAATTGGATGCTGCTTTAATGAAGACATTGTATTTAAGTATGGTGGGCTCATATTTCAATTAGTTAAATTCAATGGACCACAGCTTTAGTATTAGAAAGACACATTTGCATGTTCTACTCTTTTTATTGGGATTTCATTTTTGGATTCATAGTTTTGCAACAAGTTATTTTTAGATTTTTTCATTTCCTCTAAATTAAGTTATGACTATATAAAAACGTAACACTCTATTTGAAGAGAGCTTTTACCAAGCAATAGTTACAAGAGAAAGTTTTGCCCTAACTTGCTTGTGACGGTTGTTTCAAAGACGTTTGTACTGGATTTATAATTATGCAACGGAGTGTATTAAAACAAATCGATATTGGCTGCTTTTAGGAACGGCGAACATTTGTTTGAAATTGAAATTCAATTCAAGTAGGTATTTAATACTAATAATAATGAAAATATAAAAAAACTATGCATACTTAGTTTGATAATTTTCGTTTACTTTTTTCTACATATATATAGCTATCTACGTACGTACATATGTAGGTATATCTTCGGCAGGGTTTCTATTTCAAACTTTTTCAATCCGTATTCTGTCAAACCCTTCCAATGAATACTTTGCTCTCGCTATTGTTTCCTAATACCCAGGCTGTCAAAAGATGTAGTTGTGTGACCTCGTTATCCCTGTGTTGTTTTAATTCTCCACGGATAAACTCGCTAAACATTTAAATACATAGGTATTTATATATATTCAAAAGAGTATAGATTAACTTTGAATGTGAGTATGGAACAAGTACACACAAGAAGGTGGTGGCACAGGATACAGAATATTTACATGTATGTATTGGCAGCACACTAACAAGTATGTATTAAAATTTAGCTTCAAGAAATAATAAACATGTAAGGCACTGCCCTCCAAAAATCGTTAGACTATGTGGTCTATTTGTGCCATATTGGAGTACTTACTAAGTTCTCCTCTGTAAGGCAGTAGCGGACCAACTCTCTACCCGACCAATGCTCGTGTTTTCGCGATCGTAATCAAGGTATAACAAGGTAGAAGTGATTCGACATTTCTCTCTTTTGAACTGCGACAGAAATGTCAATTCTTAACCCTATACAATTCAAAATTTTTTCTTTATATACATTTTCAATTATGAGCTGTGCGACTGATTTTAAATACATAATAAAATGAAAAGGAATTGCGAGCGGTGCGTTGTGTTTGTCAAGAGCCTGGACAACAAAGTTGTGCGTTATTTTAAACCTTCGAAATGTCAAGGGAATCGACAACGGTGGGCAAATTGCTGCGATGTTTCATTAGGTGACTCTTCACGTGTGGTCGTGACTTTATTTGTTGCCTATCGCAGCCGAGTATTTCTAAGTGGACGCGTTTGGTCCCAGGTGCAGGATTTATCATACTGAATATGAAAAGACAATTTCCCTTTCATATACATACATAGAAAGGCTAAATTTCAAAGATTGGTCTGATAAAACCTAAATCAGTATTCCTTGTTGACATAAAGAAACTGAAAGTAATTTTTAATAAATTTAATGGAAAGGAAATTTCGAATAGCAAAAATTTAATATCTAAATTATTGAAGTTAAGTTCTGATGTAAATTTAGAAGAATCAAACTTTTTTTAATATTCTTTAGAATTAAGTATTTGAATAAAAAAATAAATGCTCAAAAACATTGGGATAGTAAAAGCAAGAAAATTGTCAAAACGGTTTTATAAATGAGTGTGTTTCATTTAGTGTGTAATTTTGTGTAAGAATGCATTTCCACATTTACATTAAACCGAAAATTCATTAAATTAAATGAAGCTGATTCTAACGAGATTTTAAATATTTTCATATTTACAAAAACTTTCATTTCAAAGATGTTGAGTTCTATCAAATATGGTAAATGCATAACAAAGGGTTAATTTCTTTGTTTACATTTTTTTGACATTACAGTCAGGTATGAGAGAGCTCGACTGAATTGTCACTTCTACCTTGTTGAATATGCCTTGATCGTAATCCATACACGATGTTTATTAGGCTGTGTTGCCGAGAGGTAGGTGTTTCATGGAGTAATCCTTTGGAGTACTTTTGTGCTACTACGATGTAATGCAGAGTTGGAGTATATGGTGCTTTGCAGGGTGGCTACCCTCACCCAAATACATTTCCACCAGCAATGTTCGCATGTTTGTACACGTATGAATGATAATATGTATGAACGTATGTACATACGTGCAGATAGCCGGATACAGTGATGGATAGAGAATATTTGAGGCGACAAAAAGGACTTTGAATGTCAACAACGAAATTAACGGCAAAGACATCGACAACAACAAGAACAAGAACAAGAACAAGTACGAATATAAAGGTATGTATATGTATAAATACAACAACAAGAGCAAGCAAACAACAACGACAAATAGAGTACCCAGAAAGGTAAGAATAACAATGACTACGAGTACAATAACTAACGACAAAGAAGAGCAAACAAATAAGAAAAAGTGCAGAAGAAGTATTTAGAAGAAGAAGTTAAACAAGCAGGCGAACGTTGAACCGTTTGAGTGTTTAAGTATTTAGGTGGGCGAGTGGGCGAGTGTGCGTGCATGTGTATGTGTAGGTGCTGTAAATGGGCCTTTGTCTATGCCAATCGACTGTCAATTGGCAAATAAACCCCACAAATCCTTATTTTCGCCCATCACCTAAACACAAGCACAACGACAACAACACCAACAACTGCATTTAAAAGTGCCCAATACTGAGCACTTAACACTCAACACTCAACACCAAATAACTTTCAACGTTCAACGTTCAATGTTCAACATCGAGCACTTACGTGTCGCTCTTCAGTCTCAACGATCAAGTGATTGTTTTTCAAAGTCATCTTCGTGACAGAACCATTAGGACGTGTAAAGTTCTCTTGGACGGAGTTGTTGGACAGATTGGCTTGAATTTTCAACTTATTGTTGTTGTCTAGATTTAGTGGCGATGCTATTGAGGTTAAGGAAGGGGTTGCAACCGAAGTCTCGGATGACAGCAACGCCCTCTCATCGACACTGAAAACTGTAGCAGCACCACTAACACCATTGCACAAAATGTTGTTTGTTGGATAGCTGGACGGTTTCGTGATATTGCACTCGCCGGAATGCGAGTTGGTCATTGCTTTGAGGCAGCTTCCGTTGGTGACATTCTCGGTGACGGACGGCAAATGTTGTTTTGGAATTGAAGTCGCTGTGTCGATGTTAGACTAGAACGTACAGAGAAAATAGATGAAGATGAATGGCATGGTTTTCGCCGTTAAACGGTAGAACTGCAAGAATGATGCACAAATGTTTAGAGTAATGTTATAATGTGAAAGTGATATATAATACGAAATTGGTTACTACGTTAATGCACGTTAGGCAAATTCACGTTCATTACAATCCATTTAATTAAGACTTCGCATTCGTAACACCAAATCTACACATTCTAGTTTCCACTGGTAAGACATATCTGTCTTACCGAATTTCTTACCACCAACTATCATTTCGTAGTTTGACAACTCAATTTTCATTTTACCGTGCCATTAACATTAGGAACAAATTGATTGGAATGTTACGACAGCAAGGTGCCAGCATGAGAAAATGGGGCAAAGTTACAACAGAAATTTGACAGATGTTAAGATATATTTAGATTAAAAATTCACTTTTAACGTTATAAAGTACAAACTGCCAGACTCACTGGCTGAAAGTGAGTCGCACATTAAAAATTTGGCAAAAATTAATAATTTTGCAAAATTTTCAATAATTTTCCAACAGGAACGAATCCGAAACGATTTGTTTCCATATGTATAAATAACTTGAAAATACACTCTTAAGAATGAGGAAAAGTGTTTCAGGGAATCGTATGCTTTCGTGGGAGATGAGTAAAGACGAGGGCTGAATTGCGCTAGGAACTGCCGCACATTTTGAATTCACAACTAGTACTGAAATTATTACCTATTCCTATCACTCACGATAAACTCACCGTCTAAAACATCAGAACCAGTCGGTAAGAAATCAGAATGGAGTTATACCAAAGTAAACTTTGTGCGACATTCAGCTACCGCAACCTCTTATGGTGAAGTCGCCGCCAAAAACGCGGGACAATTGCGTTGATCTATTTAGCGAAGGGGCAAAAAAGCCGAAATGCTTATCCTTCAATGCCGCACAATTTGGAAAATGAACTTTTTCGAGACAAAATTTAATATGTATCTCGAGAACGAGAACAGTTACCGAAATAGATGAAAATGGTGTTTAAAGTTTTTAAGAAGGAGATCTCGCTGGATAAAATAATTATGTTCAGCTATGAAATTACTTTTAAAATTAGAGGGATCAAAATTTTTTCCTTTTTAAAGAAAATTACTGTCAAAAAAATATAATTATTGAAAAGACAGTAATTTACAACAATTATACATACGTGAAATGAATGATGGGGTACGAAAATGTATCTGCAAGAGTGTCAAATAAATAATGATTTTTTTTCAAAATCCGTGATTCGGTGAAATTTTCGTGGTACAGTTTAGCTGACCGCACTCAACTTAGACTCGAGCATGCTCTGCGAAGAAAAGCAGCTCAACTTTTGCCAGTTCGTATAGTATAGGAAAGCGGCATCCTAGACAAAATGCAAAGGAAACAGACAGGCCAAAAGCTCTTTCAAAGAAATATTACCTTTGAAATCTCAAACAAACTTAAATTTCAGTGGGCATGACAACAAAAGGCATAGGATTTATTACAACACACTGCAGATCCACTCTTTTAGCTGTACTTCTGTACTAATTTTCAATGTTGTATGATTATTATGGAAAGACTCATAAAAATGCATACATATGTATAGAACTCATCCCTTAAATATTTTCTACGTGCGTGACAGTGTTCCTGGCCAATTTGTTGCAAAATATCTAGACCGCAGTGAAAAACTTATGAAAACCTGAAAACTGCAGCGTAAACAGAATGTTTGCGGTGAAGTAAAGGCAAGTATGGCAACTAACTGTTGTCCCCTCCAAAAGTAGGAGTAACCATCAAATTTGCTAGAAATTAAAATGTGGTCGTAGCAAAATCAAAGACTAAGAGCGTAAACAAACGGAGTGAGTTAAAGCCGCTACAATAATAACAACAGCCAAAAATTAGTGAGGTGAGTGGTGGTGGGCTGCTGAACGTCCGAGGGAGCTTTCAAACAGCAAATGTCAAGTAAAACCGCCAGATGCTTACAATGAAATGGTGTCTGGTTGCGGCAGCCAGCGCCGATCTGCCAACAGCGGCTCTCACGAACTTGCAATCAGACCGAAACGGAGATTTAATTTGCGAGTTGTATGAGACATGTTGCAAACACTTCCTGTGTGTGTGTGTGTGTGTGTGTGTGAATGTGTCCGTTGCTTACCCTGACTGGAAGTACTAGCTTTGCTTGTGCACGTCTGCACCACACTTTGGTGGCATTTTCTATCTCCGTTTTAATTAAAGTTTCAGCCTCCAACCAGCTGTCAGATTATGGCGGAACAAGAAGAATCAAATAAGCATGCTGGAGTCGAAGGGAGTGCCAACATGGCGTGGAAAACACAAAAACCAAAACACCCCGACTTTTGACTTTTGAATTATATATACACAGGTATAATGGTAGACATACTAACATACATATATACATATAAGTATTAGTGAGCGAAGTTGATGAAAATTTAAATTTTCATCGCACTTTGCAGTCTTATTTGTGAATTTTATTTTATTTTATTTTGCACAACTTAGGCTAGGAATGAATTTAAGGTGAGCCACAACCACCTACTAATATTTTTGTAATAATGTATGTAACAACTGTAAGCCCCTATTGATTTAAGTGTACTTTATATCTTGTAATGTTTAATTAAGACTTTTAGCCGACGAGTATTCACTACATACCTCTTCCTGGGAATTTTCGCCATCTCCATTTTTCTTGTCATTTGTAACGCTCCCATTGGCCTGATTTGCATCGCGAATATTTGGTGAGCCATAGAACTTTCCATAGAGGTACCTGTGCAAAGAATATGTAATTTAGTTTAAATTAAAATATTAAGTGAAACATCTATGCTGTAAATACAATTAAATAAGTGGCTCAATTAGTCAAAAGTCGAAGACAATGCAATCAAAATGCGATTAATTAGTAAATCCGCGCACACTTGTGCACAGAGGTATTAAAAAAAACTCTCCAAACGGCCTTCTGAAGTACGTCCTACCTCCGATTTGTGACGAAGTAGTGAAGGTAAAATGTTATGCACAGAAACCAACAACCGTGTATCGCTTAAGTGCACTGAGAGCTGTTTGCGGATTCCGCACAATTTCTGACGAAGCATCCTTTGTAATCGCTGGTCCCAGTAGACATTATCGCACAAGAGATGAAAAGAATATATAATCACCTGTCTGAGGACAGCAATGGTCTAACGCGAAAGACAATAGCCAGAGAAGAAAGGTGTCGTTCTATGGTAATCTGGCAGAAACGATGGGACGACTCTGAAAAGGGAGGTGGACCCACAAGCTCATCTCTGACATTGAAACACGGCTGAATAAGTCTCACTGAGAGTGTAGTTTTCATCTAAGCCAGTTTCTCTCGAGCAACGGTTCTTATCGTGAGTATCTGAATAAATTTCGGCATAGGAATAAGAGAAAATAACGGAACACATAATGTTCTCCTGCTCCCGATACGCCTCTGAGTCACGAAGCATGGTACAGGATATCGGCATACCAGACTATATGTTAGCGTCAAGCGAGAAGTGGTGGAAGATCTGCGCTCATGTCACAATAATTCATGTAGATTTAAGACGAGCTGAGCATCTAAGCAGCCGTTAAAATATGTACGTAAGGAGCCTTTTGGGCCAACCAACCCTGGCCCAATTTCTTACATACTCATACTTTGGCAAAATGTTGAGTGCGATTTTTAATATATCTATTTGCAATTTTGAAATGTCCCTGCCAAACAGTAGTGCCTACAGCAATAATCATGGCATTTTACTGTTAAAATCCCAGAAGCTTTACAATTTTACAACACAAATTTAAGAATTCCAAAAACACCGCAGTCAAGTGTCACATTTCTTGAGATAATTTATTCATTCGGTGCTATAATCTGCTGCACTTGCGTTTCGTATGGCGCACAACAAATGTGAATGCCAAAAGTTGGCTTGACATCAAAAGTTTGCCCATTTACTGATTCAATTTACAACCTCAAATAGCTGGCAGCGAACCATTGCTTGAAATCCAATTTGGCGGCATTTTCGTTTACTGTTACTTTATTGCTTTTCGTTTCATATTTAGTATGCCTCACGCTACTGCTAAGCGCGATTTTATAATCTTCTTAAAACTTTGCCGCTTATGTAGCCTTTTTCTCTCAAACTTTCACAGCCAGTACTACCGTCATTAGAATTTGATTTGGGTGTCGTAACTGGAACCACTGGCATTTTTTTCACTTCAAACTGTGCTCGTAAGTGACTTTTTGGGCTAACTGTAATACATGTGTTACACTTACATACATACATATGTGCTTAGTACTCAGAGCCTTGGAATGTCGAAGACGCATTCTTGACGTGAATTCAACCAATTGTTTATTGAAAAAAAAAAAATTACTTTGTTCTTAGAGTTTCTTAATTCTTTCCATGTGTCAAGTTAAAGTAGCTCAAATAGCGTGGCTTAATACGAGTAGCTTAAGGCGGAAAATAACAGTTATATACATATTTAAAGAGTTTTTGGTAGCAGTGCCCTAGTTTTAAGTTCTTAAGTCCTACATGGAAACTCTTCGATAGGGTAGCGATATGCAACCTAAAGGGGCAGCTATGTGGCATTACGCCTTTCCATCTCATACTACAAATTTCCCTCTTTTCACCCAGTGGTTGAGAACAATACCACCAGATCCTCATAGACGTTCTAGAATATGGTAACAAGCGCAAGCCCATAGTACAATAGGGAGAAGACAGACTTGGGGTGTTTCCTTTTTGATGATTAGTGGGAAAACTCCACCAACAGGCCTGTAATGGCACTTCTTTATATTAGGGTCACATTAGGGACTCGAGGAAGCCCTACAACATCTCAAAAAATGTGGCTTCGAAAACGAACGAGCTGCATACATACGTGCTTTCGCGGAGAAGTAGAATTTCCATTGCTTGAAAGGTAAGAATACAGACAGACCATCCCTCAAATTTCCAATATATGTCCTCTATAAATGCCCTAATCTTTGCAATAGTATAACACGATATCGCGAGGCGTTATTCAAGAGACGCTAAGTCAGCT